CACACCAGATCACACACACACACACACCAGATCACACACACACACACCAGATCACACACACACCAGATCACACACACACACACCAGATCACACACACACACACACATACACACACACATACATACACACACCAGATCACACACACACACCAGATCACACACACACACCAGATCACACACACACACCGGATCACACACACATACACACACACACCAGACCACACACACACACCAGATCACACACACACACACCAGATCACACACACACGCGCACTGCAGCAAAAATGCTACGTTAGAAGAATGTACAGCTTTTTAATAAGATAAATTTACGATGTGAATCTGAATTATGAATTTATATTAACTTTATGGAGCTTCAAAATCAGCAGAGACCGAGTATCACAACACAGCACATAATTCAGACCTAACCAGGACCTGGAGTATATAAAAAATGTGCCAACGTGGGGGTGGGGGAGATGTAGTCAGTGAGTTTCACTCACACAGTCTGACTTACACCAATGTCTGCTTAACCCAGACTGAGAATTCCACATAGGAACAGGAGGAGGCCATTCAGCCCCTCGAGCCTGCTCCGCCCATTCTATTAGAGCATGACTGATCTGTACCTCAACTCCAATATATATATTGGAATTCATCTCGCTCTCCATCTCTCTCTCTCTCTCTCTCTCTCTCCCTCCCTCCCTCCTGCACTCCCACTCTCTCCTGCTCACTCGTTCTCTCGCTCACTCTCTCGCTGACTCACTTGCTCACTCACTCGCTCACTCACTCACTCGCTCTCTCCCTCTCATTCTCTCTCGCTCACTCGCTCTCTCTCTCACTCACTCACTCGCTCACTCACTCTCTTGTTCTCTCGCTCACTCTCTCCTCTCTCTCACTCGTTCTCTCACTCACTCGCCCTCTCACTCTCCTGCGCACTCACCCACTCACGCTCTCACTCACTCACTCACTCACTCTTTCTCATGCTCCCACTCACTCGCCATCTCACTCGCCTGCTCTGATTCACTCCCTTCGCGCTCCCAGGCTTTCACTCCTCACGCTCTCACTCACTCACTCACTCTCTCTCTCTCTCCCTTTCTTTCACTCATGCTCTCACTCTCTCCCTCCCTCTCGCACTCACTCTCACACTCTCTCTCTCTGCGCACCCAAGCAGCAGTGATAGGTGATTAAGCGATAACATCTGTTAATTAATGCTGCGCTCTCCTATCAAACACAGACAGTTGTTCGGCCCTGTTATCTCGAACGTCCCTCAACTGACAGACAAAAAAATGATCTCCTATGCTCAGTACATGAGTGACAGACACACAATGGATCGCCTCAGACTCGGGGTGGGGAAGGGGGAGAGGAGTGGTGGGGGGAGTGTCGGAGACCCTGATTTCCCTCCTCGGTCAGGCCAGTTTTATCGGTTATCAGCGACGGCATATTTGCTCTGTCACGTCGAAACCGTCAGCCTTCCAGACTCCGGGAAAACTCCTGGAGGCAAAGCAGCAGCCGGAAAACGCCAGTCGCTTGTTCATCTGGCGAATAAAGCCACCGGATTGCAACCCGCCACAGCTCGTTCGTGGGAGGCCGCGGGATGCGATGTTAAACATACAGACCTGTAGCTCAGTTGTTAGCACGCTCGCCTCACAAGCCAGAAGACCCGGGTTTAATTCCCGGCCAGGGCGAAACCTAAAGGCAAGATTCCTTACTCCGCAGGCCTCTGTTTACCCGGCAGTAAGTAGGAACCTGGTTGTTAGTCAATTGGCGGATCGCTTTCCAGGGTAATAATCCCTTCAAAAAGTAAATAATAATTCTGGTCACTCAATCCACAACTGTTTGTGAGACGCTGCTGTGCGCAATTGGCTGCCGCGATTTGCCCACAGTCAATTCACTTTACAGTACATTCTGTGCAGCGCTTTGAGACGTCTGGAAGATGTGATAAGGCGCAATATCAAAAGCAAAGGTTATTATTATTAATATTATTTCTCCCGGTGTCCTGGCTGACAATCTCCCAGATAAAATTGATTATTCACTTCATGGCAGTTTGGGGGACGTTGCTGTGTGCACATTGGTTGTTGCGTTCATCTACACAACACACAGTTGCTACACTTGAGAGTAAATCCTGTGAAGCGTTTTACGATGTCCTGCCGACCTGAAAGGCACTGTATCAAGTGTAGCAGTGACGTGATAAGCCACTATGTCAACCACAACAACAATAACCTGCATTGATATAGTGCTCTTCACCCGGGTCAATTGTGCGCAGTTGGTTGCCATGTTTCACCCACGAAACTTATAGTCACTACACTTTACAGCATATTGAGACGTCTCGAGGAAGTGATAAGGCGCTATATCAGATGTAAGGATTATTATTATTATAAGGAATGTTATGAGAACCGCATTAATTCCCAACAATACCTCTGGTGGACCGAGAAAGATTGGTCCAATTTGATTTCTTGAGGTGTTGCCGGTCGGCTGGGCTGTAATGAGAAGGGGAGCTAACCACTGTTTAATTTCAGGACAATTAGGAAACAGGGTTATGAATTCTCCCGAACCATTAATCACCGGTAATAAGCAATTCATCATCACCCACTCGCACAGTCTGTGCCTTACAGCACTCTCTGATATCCTCGCAACAGCAAGCAGGGCCAAGATGAGAGATGTGTTGTGTTAACTATCACCTGGGTTAACCAGCACACAGTGAAAAGGTTGTCTTAAACCAGTCCCCTAATGGTAGTTTGTGTCTAACCCCTCAATCGTATGTACACATGGACGCACGTGTATGTAGAGAAAGATTTCGAGAGTAAGAGAGAGGTACAGGGATCTAGAGATAAGAGAGAAAGAGATAAACAGGACAAAACGAGTGAGGAAAAGCTGATAATGATTCTTATTTATTGAAGTGCTTCATTGAAATGTCTCAAAGTGCTTCACAAGACTTATAATAAGGATAATCCTTGCATTTTATATTGGGCCTTATCACATCGTTGAGACGTCTCAAAGCACTTCATGGAATATGCAGTCAAGTGAATTGATTGTGTGTTTTGTGGGCGAAACACGGCAGCCAATTGCGCACAGCAGCGTCCCACAAAACAGTGGTGGATTGATAATCTATAGTAAATCTAGTTACTATGGATTGCAGGTACTGTGTATTTTGTTGTATGTGAGGATACAACAACAAAATTACATTTGTATATCACCTTTCATGTCGGGAGATCGTCCCAAGGCGCTGGACAGACAGAGTAATAAATGCAACCCTGCATTTATATAGTGTTGTTCATGCGGGATAAGGTCTCGCAACACTTTACAGTGACAGGGTTGGACAATGAGGAGGGTTTGGAAGTGGGAAGAGTCATGGTCAAAGAAATAGGTTTTCGTGTAAGACTTGAAGATGACTAGAGAGGAGGAAAGCCGAGGGAAGGGGCAAGGAATTGGAAAGCTAGGCCACCGATGATCGGGTGAAGGCATCCAGCCCAATTAGGGCTTGAGAAGAGAAGTAGGAGGATAAATTTATAGCACAGTTAAAGGCCATTCAGACACTGTGTTGACCATTCAGGAGCAGAGAGATAAAGAGATGGTGAATCAATTCACAGGTGAGTCTGTGTCCAATTTGTGTGTGTGTGTGTGTGTATTTTTTAGGCGAACGCAGCAGACAATTTGCCACCAAATAAGGAGATCAAGACAGAGACACACGTAGATATAGATAGAGCTAGAGGATGAGAGCTGCAGAGAGGGCACGGACATCCAGAATAGAGAGACAGGGCGTGAGACACACATACACAGATCGATATATATAATAATAAATAAAGAATAATAATAATCCTTGCATTTGATAAAGCGCCTGATCACTCACATCTTTGAGACGTCTCAAAGGCACTTCACTGAATATACTGTAAAGTGAATTGACTGTGTATTTTGTGGGCGAAACGCACTGCCAATTGCGCACATCAGCGTCCCACAAACAGCAGCTATTACTATTATTATTAAAGGGAGAGCTGGAAAGAGATACGGAGAGAAAAACCGAGATCTAGGGATTTAGAGAGAGAGAAAGACATTTACGCATGTACAAAGAGATTTATAGAAAGAGCTGGAGAGAAAGATGTAAAGAGAGGAAGATATACAGTGAGAGAGAGAGATCTAGCAAACTAGAAATAGAAAGACAGTCAGAGAGAGATGTTGGTATATATTTAGAGAGAGAGATGGTGGTGGGGGGGGGGGGGGGTGGGGAGGTGAGAGTTGGATGACACATGTGGAGGTTTGAAGGATAGACTTGTTCTGCAGCGAGTTTCATTATAAACCAGCACAGACATACCGCGAAACATGACATATTATTTTTCCGGAATTAGGCGCACGAAAACAACACAAGTGTTTTTTTTCCCCCCGCTCACAAAAGAAAGCCCTCGCCGCAATTTATTCCTGTTGTTCTCGCTGTCCAAACAATTGCGCAAAGACAGCCCAGCATTTATCTGTCTGGGTACCAAGGCAATGAGTTTTCCTTGAGGCGACTAGACTCTATTCTTCTGTCCAACACTGGGCCAGTAACACTCACTCACTCTCGCTCCCTGGCTTACACCGTCTCTCACCAGCGTCCTTCCATTCAATTACAAACCTCTTTCTTTCCTACCCCCCCCTCCACCCACCCCACCCCACCACCACTCCAACCCCTCCCCCATATCGCCCGCACGGAGCCTGAGAGCAATTTTGGCTAAAAAAGAAAACAATTCAATTTTCTCTTGAGACGTACACAGACGTTTTTGAGAGATGAACTCAAAAATCTTTTGTGTGCATGCGTAGGCGTGTTTGTCCGTGTCTGTGTGTGTGTGTGTGTGTGAGACAAGGGTTATGTGTGTAGAGAGCTGCATTTGGGTGTGGGGGTTGGAGTAGGAGTTCTGTTTGCGTGTGTAGGGTGACCGTGTTTGCGTGTCGTTGTTGTTGTTGGTGTTGTGTGATTGCGCTGGTGTAGGGCGACGTTTTTTTTCCCGCCGGGTCAGACCAAGCCTGGGTTACGCACACATGATGCGACAGTGCCAGCCGGAGGAAATCACCCCCCCCGGGGCCGGATGTGGCCCGCGGGCCGCCAGTTGGACCACCAAGGTCTAGGCTTACAATCTAGTGGAGTTCTTGGTGGGGTGGGCGGTGTGGGAGAATTGTGGCGTATTGTGCTCAGATGATACATTAAATCAAGGGTCTTGATTGTCAAGACTTGATCATTCATTTCCTGGCTATTTGCTGTGTGGCACGTGACTACACGGGAGAGAAATTACAGTGTGAAAGAGTTTGGACACGAGAAAGCACAATATCTGGTGAAAGGATGATTATTATCATTATCAAATCTGAGGATAAATTCATTCCATACCGCCCACGGATTGCGTCCTTCTCCGGCATCGAGAGTGCGGTCATATTCACTGTAATCTGTCTATAATCAGATTTTAGTCAGGGAAACAGCAAATAAAACAACACTTATGCAGGGTTTACTCAGCAAAAACAACATCAGGTACCAGAATTACACTTCATTAAAGTGTAAGTGTTTTGACAATTAATCAGCAGTCTGGTCTTTCACCCATATCACTCAATAATGGCGCTACCTTTTTTTGTAATGAATAATTTACGGTCGTTGCAGCTCCAACGACAATGTAGGATAAATTAATGCTTGGCATTTTATTGCTTACACTTGGAAATCGCTGGGCCCAGTGTTGGCTCTCGTTACAATCACCGCCACTCCCACACACACACTCACACAAACACACATGCTAGACACACACTTCCCTTCGAGTCCTGTAGCATATTGATTAGAGCACTCGCCTCGCAAGCGAGAGGACCCAGATTCGGGGCAAAAACTTAGGCAAGTTTCGCCCCCAAAATATACAGTCAATTTACTTGGCAGTGTATTCCGTGAAGCGCTTTGAGATGTCTCAACAAGTTGATAAGCCCGCTAGAGAAGCACGGAAATCTACGAGACAGTACGAGGTCATTCAGCACATCTTATTGATGCTTCTGTTTGCTCCTCCAATGCAGATTCCTATCCTAATATTTTTCTTCTTCAAATATTTGTCCAACTTTAAAGAGAGGGTCCCATTCTGGGAAGAGATATTCCAGCACAGTACTGGAGGGGGGGTGTCGGGGGTTGGGGTGTGGGGGGGTTATGGGGTGGGTATGTGGGGGAGAGCCCTGCATTGTCAGTAGGTCCTGTCCTTCGAGCGAGATGTTAAACCTAGGTCCCTGTCTATTCCCTGTTCAGGGAGGCGAAAAGATCTCACAACATCAGTTAAAAAAAAGCCAAGGGCGTTTCACACAGCGCCCTCAGGATATTTCACACCCGATCTCGCTCGCACACAAAATTGCTGCCACATTTGCCTGCAAAAGCAGTCACTACACTAGTTAGTAATTACTCAAAAAAAGGCTCTTTTTTTCCCCAATTATTTTTGAACGGCCGCCCTAAACAGGCGACATAAGGTGAGGCGTTATGAAAAAAAAAATGCAAGTTCCTACTTCCTCCCTTCCTTTCCAGTAACTGCAACATAAGGGGATTGATAGGGACGTTTCAAGAATGTTCTTCTTGTTGTTCCTCTCCAGCAGCGATAAGCAGCTAATACACACTATTCTGATTGAACAATCAAGTGCAATTGTCTGAGTGAAATGGAACAGGGGCTGGTACCTGTACAAAGAAAGTGCTTCCTGCGTTCAGGTCTCTGCTTACCATGCTTCTGGTCCAGGTGTCGCCCTTAAAAGAGCACGCACGCAATGGGCCGAATGGCCTTCTTCTGCGCTGTAAATGTCTTCGGTTCTATGTTCCGCAGACCAAAAAGAGGCCACTCAACAGCAAGCTGCATTTATACAGCGCCCTTCGCAAAGGACAGTCTCTCGCAGAGCTTAACCGTGACGGGGTCAGGGATCAGACACTTAACGAGAGGAAGGGTTGGGGGGGGGGGGTGACCGTGTGTGCAGCTGAAGAAATAATAAAAATGATTGTATTTGATACATACAGCGACTTTCATGTCGGGAGGATGTCTCAAAACTTCACAGGATTTACTGTAAAGTGCAGTAACTGTGCATTTTGTAAGCAAACGCAACAGCCAATTTGCTTACAGCAATGATGAATGACCGATTTTATCTGAGGGATTGTTAGCCAGGACACGGGTGTTGGGGGGGTGGTGGGGGGGAGAACAAGAAACAACAAAAACTTGCATTTATACTATGCTCTTCACAAGGGGTAACATCTCAGAGCCCCTTAACAATGACGGAACTTGACGATGAGCAAGGAAGAGAAGGGAAGTGACTGTATGTATTCAAATGGACAAGTTGGGGACAAGACTTCCTTCTCTAGTATCTCTAGTACAATCTCCCCAAATATTGGAATCAGCCTATTTGATCTCATCCTTCCAGAATACCTGCCCTGGTGTCTCCCATCACTGCATTAAATGTCATCAACCAGCCCCCGAAAAACTGCCTAGACCTGCATCAATTGTCCCTCTGCCAGTGTCTGATCTGAAGAGTCACAGCTGTTTGCGTCGAGTTGGTGCCCTGAGCTCTCGGCAGGCTCTGTATGAGCTGTCAATCCACCTAGGGCTTCAGAGAGAGCTCATGTACCCCTGACATCAAAGGCCAGAGTCTTTTGTTCTTCGTTCCTCTGTTGTCACTCAACACGGCCTTTTATTATCCATCGGACTGAGTTAAGCAAGTCACAAGAGGAAGCTGCCCTGAGTCTCGTACCTGCCTTTAGCAGATATAATGGGGACTGCAGCTCCACAACGCACACAAAGAGGTCGTCTCAAAGTGCTTCATGTGAGTGACAAATTCGGTCACCTCTATCCACTGTTTGTGGGACATTGCTGTGCTCAATTGGCTGCCGCGTTTCCCCCGCAAAATACACAGTCGATCCACTTTGCAGTATATTCTGTGAAGCGTTTGGAGACGTCTCTACGGCCTGATAAGACGCTGTATCAAATGCAATGATTATTTTATTACTATTTACTGTGAACTGTAGGGACTGTGCGAACCCTGCAGCCAATTTGTGCACAGCAACATCCCCGAAACAGCCATCGAGTGAATCATAGAATGATAGAATTATGCAGCAGAAAAGGAGTGAAACTCGGCCCATTATGTCTGAAACTCCCTTCTCTTTTCGTGTAGTGCAATGGGATCCTTGATGTCCACCTGGGCCTCAGTTTACTGTCTGAGGTGAAGGACAGCACCTCGACAATGAATTGCTCCAATAGAACTGCACTCTCCAGCCTGGACCTGGAGTTCAAAGTCCCAGATGTGGGGATGACCAAAAGGTGTGGCCTTCTGACTCACAGGTGAGATTGGTTCTGAATGGGCCGTGCTGACACCTAAATGCCAGCGCTTGCTTTACTGTCAAGATTTTGCCATCAATTCACAAGGTATTTCTCTCTGACAGGATGCAAAGAAGGGTTTGGAGGAAGGATTTCCTCTGATCTCCACCTCGTTTTCTTCTCTCCCTTCTAACTCGAACTCTCTCCACCTCCCTCATTCCCATTCCTCCAATTTACAATTGACCTGTATGTTCCACCAACCCCCCAGGTGGGGGTAGGGGGTGGGGGGGTGAGGGCAAGGTGGGAGGAAGGGGGGGTGGTGTGGTGGGAAGATGACCAAAGGCGTGGTCAAAGAGGAAGATTTGGAGATTCTGGAGATTCCCAGAACGGGGAAAGATAATTGGCAGTGATACTTTGCTTCTGCTCTCAGGAAATCTCTCCTTAAATCATTCTGCCTCGCTCCCCCCATCATCGCTTTTAACACCCAACTCCGAAACAGGGCTGGCGAATCTTAAACTTAGAGCGAGGCCATTTAGGAGTGAAATCAGCAAGTATTTTTTCACCCAAAGGCGAGTGGAAATCTGGAACTCTCTCTCCCCCAAAAGGCTGTGGGATTATGGATCCATTCACATTTTCAAGCCTGAGGTGGATAGATGTTTGTTAGGTCAGGGTATCGAGGAACATGGAGCAAATGAGGGTAATTGGCGTTGAGGTACAGATCAGCCATGATCTTATAGAACGGCGGAACAGGCTGGACGGGCTGAATGGCCTACTCCTGTTCCTATGTTTGGATGTAATATAAAACCCCGACTTCTTTGACGGGGTCTCCCCATCTCCCATCCAGCTTGTGCTCCCGCTCCTTATCTGGAGACGTTCCCCTGTGCGAAAGACCCTGCGTAAGTGCAAATTGTACTGTTATTGAGTTTCTGCTCAGACACGCTATTGCAATTCCAATTAGCCTTGAGCTCTCATCAGTCTTTGACTCCTAGATACCACTGACTGCTCATTCATCATCCGTGTCTGCGCTCATTCACCAAGACCACAAGCCTTCCTCGGGGGGAGGGGGGGGGGGCAGGAGAAAGGAGAGAGAGAGAGAGAGAGAGGAGAGGGAGACAAGTGAGAGGAGAGAGAAAAAGAAGGGAGAGAGGGGGAAGCAATACAATACAAAATTATAGTGCCTTTCACGGCAGGAGGACGTCCTAAGGCGCTGGAGGAATGATAGAAGATGTACGGAAACAGGGAGAGAGGGGGGTAGGGGGCGTGGAGAGGGGCAGAGCAGAATGAGGGAGAGGGGGTGGATGACAGGAGAGAGAGAGAGAAGGGGAAAACACAGAAAGAAAAATTCTCTTTCTAATATTCCATCTAATTGCCCACTTAGAAAAGGTGAGTGTACTACAACAACAACACAGTTGTATAGCGCCTTTCACGTAGGGAGGACGTCCTAAGGCGCTGGACAGACAGAGTTTTGAACCCGAGCTGGGGGTCGCGGTCAGGTGGAGGGCAGGGGCAATGAAAGCACGGTCGAAGAGGAGGATCTGAGATGGATCTTGAAGGTGGAGGGGGCGAGGTGGAGGGATTGCGAGATGGAGTTCCAGAGGGTGAGGGTAGAGTGGCAAAAGGCCCACCAGCCAATAGTGGGGCACACGAGGCGGGGGATATGAAGCAGGCCAGAGCCCGCTGAACGGTGGGGGCGAGCAGGTTGGTAGGGGGTTAGGAGTTCGCAGAGATAGGGGGGAGCGAGACCATGGGGGGCTTTCATGGTGAGGACCAGGATCTTGTGTGATGGGAAGCCAGTAGATGGGAAGGATGGGGGTGATAGGAGAGAGGACACGGGCTGCAGAGTTCTGAACGATCTGCGGTGGATGAGGATAGAGTGGTCAACGGTGTTGAAGGCAGCAGAGAGGTCAAGGCTATAAATGGGAGACCGTTTCTTTGCTAAGAAGGTGGAGTGACTGTGCATTTTGTAAGTAACTGCGGCAGTTAATTTGTGCACAGCAAAGTCCCATATAGATCCGTCAAGTGAATGATCGATTTTATTTGGGGGATTGTTAGTCAGGACATCGAGAGAGAGAAATTCCATTCTCTTTTCCAAGGGATTTTTAAAAGGCACAGATGGTTCCTCAGTTTAACATCTCATTTGAAGGACAGCACCTCTGACAACGTGACACCCCCATCACTGCACTGGAGTATCAACCTGGACTCTCTGACATAGGGATTGAACCCACAACCTTCTAATTCTGGGGTTAAGAGCAGACGAGGTTGAGCCAGGCTGAGAGGATATGGGCTGTCAGTCTGCCTCCCCCTAACCTTCCCCCTCCCTCTCTTATAATAATAATAATAATAATAATCTTTGCATTTGATACAGTGCTTTAACACGCGTTTGAGACGCCTCAAAGCGCTTCACTGCAAAGTGAATTAACTGTATATTTCGTGGAGGAAACACGGCAGCCAATTGCGCACAGCATGGATTGAGGGACCAATTTTTTTTAAAAAAGGGATTATTACCCCCGGAAAAGCAATCCGCCAATCGACTAACCCTTCTCTCTTCCCGCTGTCCCAACATTGGAGCTTTAAGCCTCACTCAATCCTGACAGGACTTACACTGAGCAGAGGGAAAGACACAATCAATCTCTATTGGAAAATACCAGAGGCATGAATATTAAACGAGTGCTCCAAATGCACTTTTTAAAAAAAAAAAAGTGGGTCTATAAAACAAGTTGACTGACATTGGGGCTCCAGCGCAAAGGGTCCGTTGAGGTTTGTGGGCTGAGCTAGTCTCGTCTTATTGATGTAAAGGACTTTGGGGGTTGAGAGGTGGAGTTCTCACTGCAGAGTTGTGATGGTGGAGAAAGTACGTGTCTGGGTGCGTGTGTTGAGAGGATTGATAAGAAAAGAGAAGGGAGTTTCTCTCTCTCTCTCTCACTCTCTCTCTCAGTGTCCTGGCTCACAATACCCCCGATACAATCGGTCGTTCACTTGACTATTACGTTCACCCACAAAATACACAAAACTTCACAGTAAAAACTCGCAAAGTGCTTTGTGAACGTCTCAACGGTGCGATAAAGCGCTGCGTCAAATTTATGGTGAGCATCCTCAGTAAAAAAATAATTTAAAAAAAACATTAAAAAAATGAATCAAGAAAATTGGTCGCTCAATCCCCGACGGTTTGTGAGTGACTGCTCTGTGCAATTGGCTGCCACGTTTCGCTCACGAAATACAATGCAATATGACGTTATATAATAATAATAATAATAATCCTTGCATTTGATATAGCATCTTATCACATCTTCGAGACTTACTGCCCAGTAAACAGAGGCTTGTGGAGTGAGGAACCTTGCCCAATGTTTCGCCCGGCCCGGGAATCAAACCCAAGTCTCTCGCTTGCGAGGCGAGTGCTCTAACCACCGGGCCAGAGGACTCCATATCAAATGCAAGGATGATTATTATTATTAATAATATAATAAAAAAGTTTGAGATCAGACCAAGGGTAAGAGAAGCAAACTGTCCTCTTTCCTCCCAGGTCTGTGAAGCTCTGCTCAGAGATGGTAGCGATAACTCAAGTCCCCGGGCATCAGCCCTTTAGCCTTAACCATCTCCAAGCAGTCAGCCTGTCACTGCGAGTTGATGTCTGTCGTCCTTTTGTCTTGGAGGAGGCAGTGTTGTTGTTGGGGGGGGGAGTGGGGGGATGCTGTGGGGGAGAGGGGAGAGTCACAGATGCTCACTTGCAGCCCACCAACCGATGTTACTGACAGGAGCCGATGAGCCCCTCAGTCTAGCCTTGATGGAATGAGTGTCCGATGCCACGCTCGGCAGTCCTAAGGCTGCTATTTATTACTCTGGAGGGATGGGAGTCGTGACTTAAGTATTATTCATGATAATAAAACATTGTTTGATACAGCGCCTTTCATGTCAGGAGGACGTCTCAAAGCGCCTAATTCAACTGTCTGAGCACCAGCTGAGCCGAGTTGGGGGGGTGGGGAGCCGGGGACGAGGGGGGAGGAGGGGTGAGAGAGGCCCAAAGCATATTATAACAGGCAAATTATAATTAGAATTCCCTGTATTTGATACAGCACCGAGGAACATTTCCAGGTGCATCTCACGGAATTACTGTCAATGAAGGGACTATGGATTTTGTTGGCAAACGCAGCAGTCAATCTGTGCACATACACACACAGAGAGACACGTGCACACAAACACAGACACGCACACACAAACACAGACACGCACATACAAACAGAGACACGCACACACAGACACAGATACGCACACAAAGACAGACACACGCACACAAACACAGACACATACACACAGAGACACGAACACACAACCACAGACACGCACACAGACAGAGACACGCGCACACAGACAGACACGCGCACACAGACAGAGACACGCGCACACAGACAGAGACACGCGCACACAGACATACGCACACAGACACACGCACACAAACACAGACACGCGCACACAGACACAGACACGCGCACACAAACACAGACACGCGCACACAAACACAGACAGGCGCACACAAACACAGACACGCGCACACACACACAGACACGCGCACACAAACACAGACACGCGCACACAAACACAGACACGCGCACACAAACACAGACACGCGCACACAAACACAGACACGCGCACACAAACACAGACACGCGCACACAAACACACGCACACAAACACACCCACACAAACACAGACATGCGCACACAGACACGTACACATAAACGGAGACACGCGCACACAAACACAGGCACGCACGCACAAACAGAGACACGCACACAAACAGACACGCGCACACAGGAGACTTGTACGCACAGCGACGCACACACAAACAAGCGCACTCAAACAGACACGTGCACACAAACAGCAACGCACACACAAACAGAGACAAGTACGCACAAACAGAGACACGTGCACACAGAGACGTACACACAAACAGACACGCGCACACAAACAGAAACGCACACACAAACAGAGACAAGTACGCACAAACAGAGACACGTGCACACAGAGACGTACACACAAACAGACACGCGCACACAAACAGACACATGCACACAAACAGAGACCCACACACAAAGGCATAGACCAGTGCACACGTGCACACACACACACGCAAACAGACACACACATACACACAGATAGACACACACACACACACACACCCAAATAGACACACACACACATTTAACCTGAGGATTGTTGGACCGGAGAGAAGGAAAAACTTCCTTTTTTTTGGCCCCCTATAGTGTAGCAGATCTTACAGTGAAGACCAAACAACATGGTGACTTCAGTGTTAATGTCTGATCCAAAGGACGGGCTCTGACGTGGGGCTTTGACCCAGCGATTGCCTGACCCAGAGGTGAAAGTGCAACAAGCGAGCCTGACATCCAAACATCTGAATAATGGTCACAATCCTTTGCAACTGATACAGCGCCTTATCACGTCGTCGAGACGCCTCAAAGCGCTTCACAGAATATACCGCAAAGCGAATTGACCGCGTACTTTGCGGGCAAGCAGCAAGAGACCGGAGGGGAGAAACAAAAACAAACACGGGGAATAAATAGGTGGCGAATTTGAGTCAATGGGGCTGAAGCGCGTGAGTGTCTCCATCTCTTGTTTGTGAGGGCTTTACAAGATGCTTTTAAATATATTATGTCTGGATTAGAGGTTCAGGGTCTGGAGTTGGAGGAGCGGGGGGTTGGGGGGAGGGAAACAACAGAGGGGAGAGTTCAATTAATCATTTCTTACTTGAGGTGCCCTTTAACCACCCAGCTGGTGAGAGTCGTAACACAGCTGTCGGGATCCCACTGAGCTGGGAGAAAATAGTCCATGCTTCGTTCACCAACTGTTCCTGGTGCACATAAATGGATTCACGGGCTCAGTGCGGGGTATTTATGCGTTGCAGATGCACCGAGCTGGGGAGAGGGGCAGGAGGAGGGGAAGGGTGCGTATGCATCTGGGCCAATCAGTGGCAAGTGAAGTTTAAGATAGTTAATAATAATAATAATAATAATACTTGTATTTGAAATAGCGGCCAATTGCGCACAGCGGTGTCCCACAAACAGTCGTGGATGGAGTGACCACATTTATTTATTTTGGAGGGATTATTACCCCTGGAAAGCGATCTGCTAATCAACTAACAACTGGGTTCCTACTTACCGCTGGTTAAACAGAGGCGTGTGGATTAAGGAAACTTGCTTAAGGTGTCACCCTGCCGGGAAATCAAACCCGTGTCCTCTCGCTTGCGAGGCGAGCGAGCTAACCACTACACTTTGGGACTCCGCATAGAATCCATAATAACGATGACAATTTAAATAGCACCTTTCACATCAAGAGGACCTCTCAAAGCTCTTCACAGAGCTGACCAGGAG